TTTATTTCACGACAAACATTTGCTGTAGCACATGCTGGTGTAAGTTTTTACTTGGTACTGGTATGACCAGTAGCTCATGGTGTCTAATGTTAGCATTAGATATTGCTTAAAAGGTGTATTCTGAAAGGCTTAAAATTAACAAACACTTCTAAAACCTTAATATAATATGGCAAATACTCTCATAAATAAAAAAGCAACATTCTTATAAAAAACAGAAACAATATATCTTTATAAATTTGATCACTTTACTCTCTTTCCTAAAACATGTTTGCTGCAATTCCAACCATTTTGAAAAGACAGATGTGTTTTGCCTCCATGTGTGTTACATCACTAGCAAGCACAGGATGTGTTTTTCACAGTAAATTAGAACCCAAATAAACTGCATGCATGGTGTTTGAAACTAAAGGCCTCAGTGTCATGTCTCCCACACAGGACAAATATAAATTGGCAGGTCTTTGAGCCTTGTTTTATCTGATAAAACCACTGAAATCTGTATCTGTGACATGCTATAACCTAGTGTACCATTAGCACATGGAGAAGAAAAACAAATCTTTGTGATTGTGAAAGGGAAGGCTGAAGACAGATTAGGATGAGTAGAAGTGATATTGAGAGTGACGACATCGTGTGTGATGTGACTACACAAAGAGAAAAGAGGGAAAGGGAGAAGTTAGAAAGATGAAAGCTCAGAGGAAAGAGGTAAGTAGGCAGCTAGGTAGATATATAAAGAAAATGTAGACGGACACGTGTTGGCACATGATAATGCTATGCAGCTGTGTCAGCTGGGCCGAAAGATGAAAAATCCAGAAAAAAAGGTTGTGGCGTGAAGAATGTGAAGCAGTGGTAGTGGTTTCACAAGGCCGGAGAAGAAACCAGGGGCTCAGGTGCACTGCAGCGTTGCAGGTTTAAATCCAAACTGCAACCTTTTGGGTCATCCTCCTTCTGTCACCCTCTGCTGCATGCTGCCTAATAAAGCAGAAATGTGCTGAAAAGATGAGGAGACACTGAAATAGGTCAAGTGAAGAGAAGTGGGCAGGAGGAGAGAGGGGAGGAGGGGAGGGAAAGTTTAGAAGCATAAAGGCAACAAGAAGGAGGAGGATGCAAAGGGAGAGAGGCATGAGGAGGAAAGGAGGAGAAAGGGATGTAGGGTAAGTAGAAAGGTGGGTGGTAATGAAAAATTCAAGTTCAGAAACAGTGATAAGGGATGGATATTTAGAGAGGAAGAGGAACACTCTCCAAAATGGAAGACAAGTAAAGCCAGGTCAGCCATATTAGCAGCCTTCAGTGACCAGAGATTGTTGCCTAGCAGCATGCAAGAATATTTTTTTTCCTCTTCTCCTCTCCTCGCCCTCCTACTCCTCTTGTATTTCTCTTTTCTCCTCACCTCGCCTCCTCTTCTCCACTGCTCTCTCCGCGCTGTCATCCTCACTCTCTTTCCATTCCTCTTTTCCTTTCACCTTTTCATCTTCACTCTCCTTTCCGCACTTATCCACTCTGCTTGCAGGCTCCACTTTAATTTTTTTTAGTACTAGGGTGGTGCTGCCTCATGCCGACAACCAGCCTTTATTGTGTGTGTGTGTGTGTGTGTGTGTGCGCGCATGTGGCAGATTCCTCATGACAAGCCTTTCATCAGTGTGTAAAGCTGGCTGATGCAGCTGTTACACCAGCTCTGTGCTGCATCAGGATTACATGGCACATGTGAAGCCCGTGTCCTCCAACGCTTGGTCAAATACAGGATGACACATGGCATCAAGCAGGCGAGTGTGTGTGTGTGTGTGTGTGTGTGTGTGTGTGTGTTTGTGTCTGAATGCCGGCCCCTCTGGTGCTGGAACGCCCACTTGGTTTCTGACACAAGTCTGTGGCTTTTCTGGGAACGAATCTGCTCAATGCATGTTTTCTGCTGATGTGATATTGATAAATGCTGTTATTTAATGCCACCTGAATGGCTTCAACTATTACTCTTACTATTATTGCTACAACACACTGTAAAAAGTGTATTGATTTATGGAGGTTATTTAGTTAAACCAAATATGTGCATATAGGAAGTCTTATGTAAGTGGCTACAGAGCTTATTGTCTTCATTTGACATTTGATTGCCATTGGACATCTGTCCCCAGAGGCTTTTGATATTATTCAATTTTTTCAAATCCCAAACAAATCCCATTAAAAGCCCCAAACCAACGATGAATGTATTCCACAAACAAGTATTGTGTGTGTGTGTGTGTGTGTGTGTGTGTGTCTGTATCAAAAGCCTGATATGTGTTACGCCGCTGTGCCATAGAGCTCCTTTGTTGTCAAACAACTATTAAAAACACATCAGTGCACACTGTTGCACTGGGTGATATGTTCCTTCATTACCATGACTGTAGTTTACTTTGAGTTGATCCCACACACCCAGTCCTGCTGCTGAAATATTCATTAACATATCAAATGTTGATTAATCCACATGATGCACTATTTCCTTCTGTGTGAGTAATGTTTGATAAAAACCTAAGGTGTTTGAGGAATTCATTTGCTTTTTTTTGCAAAAATGAATATATATATTCGTGACACTCTTTAATAGGAGACTGATTAATGCATTTTTTTGGTCTTTATAATGACAATTGATGACAGCTGCAAAATTATAGAATATGCCAGCCTTATCCTTTAGATTTCCAGATTGTCTGCCCGAGGCGTTAGATCCTAAAACTTTTGGGGCTTAGCTTTACCCAGAAACCTTTTTGATTTCCGGTCAAGTGCGTAGACTGGCCTCTAAATATCTTCTTTGAATGGCGCACTGTGTGAAGGAGAAATTACACAAAACACACAAATAATTAGTAATTTTTTTCCCTTGAAATGACACTGATTGAGTAGCTTGTACAAATTGCTTTCCATAGGATAATGGAGTAATTTACTTTGTAAATATTATTATAACTATAACATTAGTAATAATAAAACTCACTGATTATCAGCCTTCCTTGCTGCTGTCAATGGATGCATGTAAAGACCTGTTGCTAGTTTTAAGTTTATTTGTATAGCACATTTCAAAGTGCTTTAAATAAAACATAAAAGCAGCAAAGGGAAAATTGAAAAAAACAAAACAAACATTAAAATATAGTTTTTTTTGAAAGGGTGAAGTAAAAAATAAAACAGTAATGATAGCTACCCATCTGAGTGGAATAGATGTTTCAGCCGCCAAATTAGTTGTAGGGATGCAATTGCTTCATATGCTTCAGGGGAAACTTATGGCTTGAAGGCAAAGGAAGGTTATCACACTATATTTCTATGCTCAGCCCATGTTCCACATTGCAGTAAAATCACAGTGAGTGCAGGCTAGCTAGACTGTTGCACACTGGTGTGCCTGCGAGCTGGCCAGGTGTGCCTTAGTATTGTGTTGTGTGTCTTGTGAAAAAAATGCTTGAGAGCCACTGAGCTAGACTAGCTAGCTAGCTAAGCAGCTGTCTTCTTCACCAACCTGAGCTTGTAGATGAGGCAATGGCACTCAGCAGAAGATAACTCTTCCTCCATCTCCTTTAAAGGAAAAAATGTGTGAATAGGATCTGCTGCTCAAATGACAATGAAAACCCGAACCTTGTTTCTTTTAGATCAACAATATCATTTTATTTTCAACGATTTTAATTAATCTGAGGACAGATGAATAAATAAGGGGCTATTTTTTTTATAATTCTTATTTTTGTTTTAAAAAACATTTGGGGTTGGTGAAACATTTCTTCATTGAATCTGTAATAACCTTCAATATATCAGTCTTGTTTGGATCACTATCAAACATCCATTGCAACACACTAAACAAAATCATAACAATGAGCAGTAAAATAATTGGACAGGTGCAGGAACCCCTTATCAGTATTTACAACAGGAGGACTAAACTAAAAGGAACACAAATAGCCTCAGACACCACTCACACACTGCACAGCCACTACAGTCTTCTACCCTCAGGCCAGAGATACAGATCACTCACAGTCAGGACTAAGAGAGCCATGACAAGTTTTGTGCCCATGTCCATTAGAAACATGAATAGTTGATTAACTTATTCATCAATGTGTATGTCCGTGTGTGTGCAGATTGGTGATTTATTTTATTTCTTTATTTATCTATAGGCTTTTTAATGTTTTCTGCCTATTTATCATGTATTTATTGTACTTTGCAAGTTTTACTTATTTACATAGAACTGTTTATTACTTACATGTAATGTATATGTGTGTGTGTGTGATATATTCTGCTGTGTTTGTGGAACCATTCACGCATTGATGCTTAGCACGAATGAAGTTCCTAACTGCTTAATTTTTGTTACTACTTGCTAATTGTAGCTCTGCTAGTTGTGGTAGGCTACTACTAAAAGCAGCATTACCCCCATTACTTTGAGAGCACATTTGTGTTACGGTAACACCCACTGCAGCAAAAGTGCACTTTTAATGTACAATTCAAAACGCACATCTCTGTATTCATGAATACATTTGTTGGTACATGCACTGATGTACTCTGGAATACAAAAGGTACTCATCTTGTCACAAATAGATATGTTACTATTATCTCTGTGTCCCAGAGTCTGCACACTTTCTTCTCACTGGCCTAGATTTCCCTGTTCTAAAGATGTACTAGTGCACCTGTCCAGGATGGGTCACTGTCCTTTGCCAAATGCATGCTGGGATAAACTCCAGCTCTTAACATGTAATCAAAATGCATTATGGTTATTGTAATGCATTGCACATGGACATGGACTGGCTGGTATCCATATTTTAATAGAAGTCTAACAGTAGGTTGGTTTACCAGTGATCTTGTATTTTGCAATAATCCCACTATGTCAATATTGGATGTGTGCTTGGAAATGTATGTGTCTCTCCTCACCTCTGCCTTCACTCTAAAATCTATATTTGTGTGTATGGTTGTTCTTGAGTACAAGAGTGTAGGAAGAGTGTGGGTGTGACAGCCACTCAACCTAAATGCTGGCATTTCAGAGTGTCTTTAATAATAGTAAAAGAGTTGCATGTTCCCTTGTTTTCCAGGAGGTATGCCAGTGCCTGAGGTGGCGTCTGACACTGCCAGCGCTGCCACCATGTTGAGCCCCGTCCTCAACGCCTCCAATGGAGACGGCTCCGAGTCTGAAACCACCTCCGCCATCCTCGCCTCTGTCAAGGAACAGGTTAGAAGTGTGTGTGTGTGCGTGCATGCAACACACATGGATGGTTGTCACAATTACTGACATAAGAATTCCAGGAGGTAGTTAGGATAATTCCTCCAGTCCTTTAAGGGGGAGACAGGGCGACAATAAACAGCAAGCACAAGTGATGGAATGCCCGTCTGAGCTAATGTGTCACAAGCATGTCACCACATTTTGATCTGTTTGCAGAAAGCCGTAGACTACGCTGGTCAGTGTAATTTTAAAAATGTGGTGGGATGCATCATTTCGCTACATTTTGTCAAAGTCTGAGCAGCTTTGTTGGTGATACTGTGTATGACGAAGCAGTAATGGGACAGGACAAAGTCCACACCATGATTTTTCTTTTTAGCTAACATTAGGCTGTAGAGATACACTGTGACCCTTACAAAAATGTCCTGTGGTACTAGAAAATGTTCCTATGGTATTCATGTTGTACGGCCTTACAGTACCACAGGAACACGAGGGACTAATTATTTTACCACAGGATATTTTCGTAAGGTGATACAGATCAGAATCAGAATCAGTTTTCATTGCCAGGTATGTGTACACATACGAGGAATTTGACTCAGGATTGTACATTGCTCACGATGTGCTTACTTATACAATAAAAAAATATATATAATAATAATAAAATAAAATCAGACATATTGACAAATAGTGCAGTGATCAGAGTACAAAGGATGCAAGAGTAAACTATTCACATTATGTACATGTTGAAGGTGGATATGATATACAGGTACACATACACATACATGCATACATGTACACATGTACACAGTGTGATGGAGCATAGTGCAAAGGATGCTGGAAAAATAAATAATACCTATGACCTTATGACCTGAGGTAGGTGTATTGGTATGCAGTATATACAATATGACATATTATGAACAGCACTGAAATAGAGAATGGTGAATAAATAAATAATAAGTGGAAACCAGTAAACAGGTGGCTGATTAGAAGCAGAGTTACTGGGTTATTGCACAGGAATTGTTCCTGACACTGTGAGTCAGAAATCAGCTGTTCATCAGAGTGATGGCTTGTGGGAAGAAACTGCTTCTGTGTCTGTTGGTTTTGGCGTACAGTGCTCTGTAGCGCCTACCAGAGGGGAGCAGCTGGAACAGGTTGTGTCTGGGGTGAGATGGATCTGCAGTGATGTTTCCTGCCCGTTTCCTGACTCTGGAAATGTATAAGTCCTGAATGGTCCTGAATGGAGATACTGTATTCTTGACTTTGCCAGAATGTTTCTTGATGTTTTCATCAGTTTTAACTGTCTTTCATTTTTGACACTGACTTATAAATTGCGTTCACCCCTTACATGCTATGTTTTCTAGATGAGGCAGTGAACTGAATGGAAAATGGAAATTTTGACCTGCTGCTGGTGCTGTTAGAAAAAGTGAGGGGATCACCAAAGTCATTAGGGTTTCGCCTCTGACGACCATTTATGTCTCTGCCAAATTTAATGTTAATCCACCCAGAAGTTGTCCAGATATTTTAATCTGGACCAAAGTGTTGAACAGATGGACTGTTGCATCGGCATTGCCACCCACAGAGCCACACTACCACTGTTTTTCAAAACTACTTCCAATCAGCTTACTCTCCCATAGGATTAGTACCAATCAACATACAGTAAATATAGAGCAGATTATATGTGATGTTAGTGGGAGATCTCATTATGTTTTTAAACTTAAAGAGGAACTCTACCGATTTTACACATCAAAGTGTGTTTACTGGTCTTGGGGAGTACTACTGCATATGTGACAAAAGTTTAATAAAGCCTTTTGTGGTTCCAGAGGGAGCTGTGTGAAATATTAAATCTGACTCTGGGGTTGGAGACTACACATTTGAAAATGAAAAAAATCTGGGGGTGTGGAGTTCGAAAGAAGTGATTTTAACAGACCTCTGCACCCTGCTCCTCATCTCTGCTGAAGGCTAGCAGCTAAAAATAACATTAGCCGCTGCTATCTCAGCGTTATTGATATTGATCCTGAAGCTGTCCATCATGATTTTGACCATGCGTGTGCAAAACTAAATCTGTGGAGAACTCTTTTAAAGACATGGTAGATATTAGTGCTAATAACCTTCCCAGAGTTGTACTGCACTGACTCAAACCGGCGACTTCGGGTATGGGAGGCTAAAACCCATGGGTCCTAGCGTCGGTCACTAGTACGTCTCTTAAGATGACAGGGAGTGAGCTTTACTCACTGTAAAAGCTAGCTAGCTACCGTTACACCATGAATGTCAGATATGTCTGGAATATGTATGAAAGATTGACGTAGCCAGCGTGTCGTCACCCAATGGTTTGTGGACTACCGTTATGAAGCCTTGATTTTGGCACTGTGGCCGTCGCCATCTTGGGTTTTTAAAACCAGACGTGACTGAATATGACAAAATTTGGACGGGAGGGTCATAATTCAAGCTAATTTTGGCTAGTTTTCAGACAGTGCTGTTAAATTTGCTTTTCCAACGGTGCTGGTCAAATGTATACAGTGCAGTGGATAAGATCAAAGTCCTTTTAAGATTCACCTCTATCCTGATTGACAGGTCACCGTGGTAGCGACTAGGTAACAACTGAGGTAATAAATCAAGTGAGAAGTTGTCTTTTAGTCCAATGCAATCAGACTTCTTTTTCCAACCAGTGGAGTCGCCCCCTGCTGGCCACTAGAAAGAATGCAAGTATAAGGCACTTCTGCATGGGCGTCACTTTTCAGACCCGGAGATTGCCACTTGGTCTGGAACTGGTCTGAGAAGATGTGCTAGTTGCAGCGTGTATTTGTTACAGCGTGGGTGGGTGCACAGATCGAGTGGCTACTTGATACTGTGGACACTGTGTGTGTCCTTGAGTACTACAGGATGTGAGGAAATGTACTCTGAAAGGCAGATGCTAAAGATAGCCAGTGAAAATGCTGAGAGAAGAAAAAATAATGGATTCCGCATGTTTTAGAGTGGAACCTCACAGTGACGACGTAGGACATGTTGACTTGGACACACACACACACACACACACACACAGTGCTTGGGCATAGTAATGACCTTCTAATGAGATTGTCTAAAAAGGAAAAGGCTGGTTGAGGAGAAGACAGAAATGGAGGGAGGGTCAACTATTTGAAGAAAGTGAAGACGAATAGATTGCTCACTCTATCCTCTGCCTCCTTACTTCTTCCACTACAAGCTGGAGTCGTTATATTTCATGCTCCTGCCCCATGGTGAAGTTATTATTATTTTACGCGCCAGTCATTTGTCACTTCCTTTCATACTTGTTTTTGCAGTGTGTAATTTTTCAACAAGTTTGGACTTTTGCCAGTGTTTGTAACCAGACTGTAAAAGGAAAGCAAGGGTGTATTTTTCTGGACTTTCTGAGCCAATGCTATGACACACACATACACACACAGCTTGCTGTTCGTTTTGGTTCATAAAGACAAGGTCAAGCATGAGAGACCAAGAAAAGGACCCACACACACTTGGATACACAGCTATGCACACATGCGGTCTGCAGACACACACGCTGCCAATCAGACTCTTTTGCCTCTGCTGACTCACACCAGGAGATCCCTGCTGCTGTTTTTCCTTCGTTTCCTTCTTCCCACATGAGATTGATTAGCCATTCGACGTTGTATTTATCACATCTGTCAGCTTTTGTGCCCGTGTCGTTCATCATCTCTGCTGTCAACACATCTGCTATTGGTGGAGCGCAGTGTGAAGTCCCAGATATGAAAGAGTTTCATTCCAATGTGAGATATGCCTATTTGAAAAATCTTACATATTGTCATATTGAGTGGCAGATGAAGGGAAAGTGGCACAGGGTATTGATTAGCTGTCTTTTTCTCACAGCCTGGTAGCATTCAATAATCCAGTCAGTTCTAAAATGTTGAATGTGTGGTAAAAATCCTTAAAACGGTTTCATGCTATCAGTAGACAAGGACCTACAGCTGTTTGGTTTTTTTGTTTAAAATATGAATTCAGAAAGTTCATGTTTTTCTCTGGTGCTTTTTGCCATTCTGTTAGTGTTAAATACTCTGATTGCTTTTGACCATATTTACTTAAGGACCATGACATGGTTTTGTGCCAGTAAAATGTAAGGAAGACACTAATTATTGCGCATGCAAATGAGTCAAAACACACGTGTTGGAAAAAGCAGGTGTAAAATCAGTAATAACCAATAAGCAACACTCACAGCAGTAAAGATACATTTCATTATTTAAATTACTTTAGAAGTGAACTCTAAATCAGCGTCCTGCTGTCGTAAATACTCACCAGCACACAAATAAGTATCACTCTGTGGCTGAAAATGGTCCCCAACAAATTAATTTTTTCCTCTTGTTTCAAGGATGTTACCTCTCACATCTTATCCACTGTTATCCATTGCCATGTACAGACATTCATTATCTCCAGAAAATAAATCCCACTGACTTTAGTGATCCTCTGACCGTTCCTCCATCCATGAGGATGACATTTGTGGCTTTGACTGAAATGTCTCAAAGTTCAGATGGATTGCCATAAAATTTGGTACAGACATTCATCTTCCCCTCTGGATGAGTTGTAATCACTTTGGCGATCCCTTAACTTTTCTGCTAGCGTCGTCACTAAAAATTTTATTTAGCTCAAGACTTATGAAAATGACATTCCTGTCATCATTTGTGTTTAGTTTATTAGCAAACATTACCATGCTAAACTTAGATGGTAAAACATTGTAAACATTACATCTGCTTAGCATCAGTATTTTAGCGTTGTCATTGTGATAATGTTACCACGCCGATGTTATCATTTAGCTCAAAGCAGCACAGTCTGTATCTATCCATGCTAGTAGTACTATTAGAATGTACTTTAAATATCATTCTCCATGAGCTCTCCCTTCAACAACACGAAAGTCAGATGAGCTGCATCTCAGCTTATTTACATATGCAGTCTTACTAAATACCCAGCTAAACTGAGAAATTGTGTTGTTAGAAAAATTTGCACCTCCTATGATAATTTGCAGTAGGCTT